CCAGTCCCCTCAACTTTCAAGTTCCTGGCCCGGTTGCCACAGTGAACTTGAGTATCCATACATGCAAGCGGGAGTTTCTCTGGATTCATTTCACACCAACTCATAGTGACTATCCATAAATGTTTTACAAAGAGAGGAGTCAGAGGCAAAAATTGTCACAACTGCAAATTCACAAAAGGTGACTGATTTGACTTTTGTTTTAAAGATTTATTTATTGTATCTATATAAGTGCTGTATCTGCATGTACAACCTTATCCCAGAAGAGGGCATCAGGTCCCACTATAGATGGTTGTGAGCCACCACATGGGCGCTGACACTTGAACTCAGAACCTCTGAAGAGGAACTAGTGCTCTTAATCACTGAACCATCTCTCCAGCTGCTGACTTTTAAAATTCTCTAGTCTTTAATTTTTATTTCATAAGGAAAACATGGGAATTGCAGGTCTGCCACCCTGTTCATTTCACCTGTCATACATGCTGTCACATTTGTCTCGTTGCTCTTTCGTGGGCGCGTGCACCCTGCATACATGTTGCAGTGCATATGTGGGAGCAGAGGCCAAAAAGGACATAATAAATGTTTTGTTCTCACTCTCCATCTGGAGACAGTGTCTTACTAAACCAGAGCCAGCAAGCCACAGTGGTCCTCCTGAGTCTGTCCAGTAACCCCTTTAACTATGTTCAAGAAACGTGAACTTGGATCTTCATGTATTCACAATAAATGCTCTTAGCTGTTACCTTTCTAGCCCAAATATGTTTGTTTCTAGATGAACAATTTGAGAAATAAGTTACTGACACATACTTACTGCATAGTTTGGGGTGACCTTGAACTTCTGGCCCTCCTGCCCTCACTCCTTGGTGCTGGGATCACAGGCATGTGCCACCACATCCAGTTTAGACAGTGCAAGGGATCAATCCCAGGGTTTCATGGACCAGCTGAAGATATTCCTAGCCTAATAATTTTGATTTCCCATTGTTCATTGTTATTATATACAAATACATTCATTTTTATTGACAAGCTATCATCCAATAATCTTATTGAACCTATTTCTTGTAGGAATTTTTTTTCTTAAGACTATCTACTTAAATCATTAAGCCATCCTCACAGAATTTTCCTTCTTTCCAATCTGTATACCTGTTTTTTGTTTATGACCTTTCCACACTGTTTATGCAACCCAGAACAATGCTAATGAAAATGTCGACATACCACCCAGGCCAGGTCTCAGAATGGGGGGCAAGTGTTGCTCTGCCTGTTCTACTGTGTTCCTGAAAGTTTAAAAGAAAATATATATCAATTTTAAAAGTAAGTGTTGGGCTAGTCTTGCATTCATTCCTTGGACAATTTCTACTTGATCAGGGTGCATGTTTATATATTTATATTCTAGTTGCTTAAAAATTACTACTTTTATACCCAAATCCATATGCCTATTGCTGTTTGATTTTTGTTTTTCTTGAGATGTCACAGTCTGTTTTTGGAATCATGGTAATTCTGACCTTGTAAAGCAACAGAGTCAGTCCCCTTGGCTTTTCTTGTGCCCTTGTGTCACAAGCTTTATTTCTTATTTAAATTTTGGAAGAATTCTGCAGTGAGGGATAGCTGGTGTTTTTGGTAGAAAAACACAATTTTAACTCTAGGAAGAATGTAGTGTGCCTTTGCAGTCTGTTGGCACGGGGTGTGACATGGGGAAGGAATTAAGGAATGTTTCCAGCGCACAACTTTACTGGTGTTTCTTCAGCTTTGGTGATGATGAAGAAAACAGTGCAGGTGGTGTCAATAGAATATTTGTAGCAACCGGGACAATATTTCTTTCTATTTTTCTTTTATGTGTGAGGGTGTCTAATCCCCTGGAACTGGAGTTACAAACAGTTGTGAGCTGCTGTGTGGGTGCTGGGAATTGAACCTGGGTCCTCTGGAAGATCAACCAGTGCTCTTAACCACTGGGCCATCTCCCCAGCTCCATTCTTTCTATTCCCCCCCCCTTTTTTTGAGGTGTATTTGTACATCTTTATAAAGTATATTATTCAATACATGCATAGAATGTAATAATCAAGGTGAGATAGTAAACATTTTCATCTCTTCAATCATTAATTGTGGCATATTGGAATTTTCATGTTTTCTAGTCATTTTTAATATAGCAGATTCTAAGGGGAGGGTTTCCCTTTTGTTGTTGTTTGTTGTTTTGGTTTTGAGATGAAATCTCATTGGGTGGGCCTAGCTAGAAGAGAACTGTCTTTGTAGACCAGGCTGGCCTGGAATTTGCAGTGATCATCCTGCCTCAGCCTCTGGAGTGCTAGGATTACAGGTATGAGCCAGTATGCCCAGCTTTTCATGTTTTCACAATATAGTCTTCAGCTCACTGTTCCTCTGGTCTCAGCCCTCTCGTGCCATGGGTTGTGCTGGGAGCCAAAAGATGCCTGAGAGCAATGTCTTTGCCTCCATTGCATCCTTTGGGGGAAAAAAATGAATTTAGCAAAACAATGGGGGCGAGAGGGAGGGGAGATAGGAAGTAAGGAGAGAGGGGAGGGGAGAGGAGAAGGAATTCACATCCACATTCACATTAGTGTGGCTCCTTGGCAAGTTTCATGTTGTCCATGTAGGCTGTGTAGACAAAGTGAAATGACTGACTGCTTACTCCTGAGCACGCAGTGCGCGCATACACACTGGGCCCTCCATGTCTTGTTCTGTGAGGACTGACTTCTCCCTAGAAATCTGGCTTATTCTAGAAAAAGCCCAGGAGGTTTATCAGACACTTTCTTAAAATCCACACTATTAAGCTTGGCATGGTGTTATACAAGCCAGTAAACCCAGCGAAGACTCAAGAGGCCAAGACAGGAGGGCCACAAGTCCAGGCCAGCCTGGGCTACCTAGCAAGAGTCCAGACCAGCGGCGGGGTGCAGAGTGAGACTCTTACTCATAAAGAGCACACCCCAAGCCATTCATAAGCTGCCACATGGGTTCTATACACACCCCCTTTTAGACAGGTCTTACTATGTAGTCCTGGCTAGCCTTGAAGTCATGTAGACCAGGCTGGCCTCAAGACTGTAGTTGCTGCCTCTGCCTACTGATTAAGTCCTGAGGTTAAAGTCCTTCACCACCATGTCTTTTCTTATTGTCCATTACTGTGCTGGACACATGGCTCAATGGATGTTTCAGTTGCAACAGAAACAGTACACATCAGGGCTCTCCGTGCAGTGGTTATAATAGCCACCACAATACCTAACAAGAATTGTGAAAACATACAAATGGACTTTGGGAGCCCATTCATCATACAGGGATACTCTCTCAGCCTAGACACATGAGGGAGGGCCTAGGCCCTGCTCCAAATGATATGGCAGACATTGAGGACTCCCCATGGAAGGCCTCACTCTCTCTAGGAAGCAGAAAGGGGATGTGATGGGGGAGGGGGGGACAGTGGAGAGAGAGGGAACTGGGATTGACATGTAAAACAAGCTTGTTTCAAATTTAAATTAAAAAAAAGAATTGTGAAAACTAGGGATGGGGGGATGGCTCAGCCATTAAAGGGTAGACTCACAACCAAAAATATAAGAATTGTGAAAACTAGGTCTAAGGAATCAGTAATGGGGTGTGAGGGGAGGGGGCAACATGGGGGGCACTGGAAAATGCCCCTGGAAACGGTTGGTACTAGAATTTCCAAAGTGAGATTCCGGCATACACTTAAAAAGGGTTTTAAACATATTAATTACACGAATACATAACTAGATATCACCATAGAGGCACTGGTGACAGACTTTGTTAGGGTATTTATTTGGTTCCTCTGTGACCTTCTCCAACACAGACCCTGGAAAATGCAAAGAAAGGTGCTTCTCCTTGTATTTGGCTCTCAGCATGTTGCATGCATTTTTAATGGCTTATTTTAGGGTTAGAGGGGAGATACACAAAACAAGCCTGGGGCATCTTGTCCCAGAAGGCAAGCAAGCAAAAACAAAAAGTGGAGATAGTTTTAAGAGACACAGGAGGCAGCTGCAAAGAACCCAGTGCTGGGAAGAGTGGACAACAGAATAAATACTATTAGGTAATAACCCAAAGAGTGAGTTCACACTGATACAATGATTAAATAAATGGGGAGAGGGGCAAGTCTTAAATGCAGAACTCAATTTATGTCAATAGTATATGCTCAGGGATCTAAAGTGTAAGTTGAGAATGGAACTCTACCCACTTAAGAACAAGAGTGTCTGGCTACGGCTGCAGCTCAGTTGGTGGAAGCCATAGGTTCAGTCCCTTGTGCCACATGAACCTGCAATCCCAGCACATAGGAGGTGAAGCTGGAGGATCAGGAGTTCAAGGTCATTCTTGGCTACTTAAAGAGACTTTCAGGGTGAGGGGTGGAGGATTGGATCTTTAGTGACCATCTAGCAGAATATAATATAAAAAGAGGGAAATGATGTTACAGATACCTGGCAGAAGCCACATGGTCAGGGAGACTATCACAACACACATCCTTGCTTTGATGTGACAATTTAGGGGCAAATCCCACAGCCAGGCAGTCTCCCACATTGGAGAAGCTAAAGGTAGCCTGAGTTACACAGTAACATCCTATCTACCCCAACTGAGGCACATTCCACAAAGTAGCTGACCTCTTAACTGTCATCAAAAACACTTAGGATACTGTCATAGTCCACAGACATAGAAGGAAGCATGACAACTAACTGTAAAATGACATCCTGCCTGGGATGCTGGGGAAGAAAGGACACGGCAGAATCTAATAACATCCAAATAAAGTATGAAATTCAGTTACTAATGTACCATTATCTCATCAGTTATGGTAAACATTGCAGCATCTGGATGTTAACAGAGCTGGGGCTGGAATGTCTTTGCTCCTTCTCTGGAACTCTGAAATTCTAAAATTAAAAGTGTTGGTTTGGTTTGGGTACCGAGGCTTGAGCTCTTGAGCCCAGGGCCTCCCACACACCAGAAAGGTACTCTACCACCGAGCCACAGCTTGACGGCACATTTGTCTTCCTCACTGTTTTCTTTCATTGCAGGGTGCTGGTGACAGTTTCGTGGGTGCTCTGGCCTTCTACCTGGCTTACTACCCAAATTTGTCCTTGGAAGAAATGCTAAAGAGATCAAATTTCATCGCTTCAGTCAGCGTCCAGGCTCCAGGAACACAGGCCTCCTATCCATACAGAAAAGACCTTCCTCTTGCTCTATTCTGACTGCTGCCAACCCCAAATAAATATAAGCTGCAAATAAAATGCATGTGGGTGTGGCTGCTCAGCTCAGTTACTAGAAAAATGCCCTTTCTTTGTAATTATGTTCACTTATTTAGTCATCAAGCCTTCGACTCAGTAATGCTTTGCTTTCTCACAATCACATCAACTAGAATTTGATTCCACCATCAGAATCGGTACAAACAGTACCAGCAAATTCTAGCTTGAATGAACACTGGACAGGAGTGTTTAGAGATTGAGCAAAGAATGTTCCAAAGACAAAGGGGACGCAGTGGGCTCTCCCAACCACCTTCTGGAGAGATAACTAATACCTTTAGCCTATGTTGTCAAACTTGCTTTGGGGGCTGGGGATGTGGCTCAATGGGTAGAGTGCTTGCCCAGTATGCATGACACCCTGGGCTTCATCACTGCCTACACTGGATGTGGTGGCACGTGCCTGTAATCTCAGCACCTAGGAGGTGGAGACAGGAGGGTAAGTAGTTCAAGATATCCTCAGCTACACAGCAAATTTGAGAGGAGAGTGGGGAGAAGACAGGGAGAACAGGGAGGGGGGCTCAGAGGTAGAGGTGCTTGCCACCTGGCCTGATGACCTGAGTTTGATTCTTGGGATCCATACAGTAGTAGGGAGCCGATTCACAGCAAGTTGTCCCGTTTATATTTTGCAAGAGTTGCTTGGGTCTTGGGACACATATGCACATACGTGCTGTTCTGGGACAGCACTGGTTCCCAATGCTTGTGGCCAAGGAGATACTACATTCCTCAGATATTTTCAATGTAGTAGGATATGGACTCACAATTCTTTACAAAGCTCATCTCTCACTTCAAGCCAGAGATCAAAGAAAAAAAAAAAAAAAAAAATGGACATGGTGGGAAACAGCCTGAGTGAGAAAGGGGATGATGAGCAAGGCAGCAGTCATATATGAACACAAGGTCTATCGGAATTGGCTATGCGATATCACCATGACCCCAAAGCAGCCATATGGATATAGCTTCTTGTAAAAGAAAGGTACAACCGGGTTCAATGCTGTCCTAAGAGCCTGTGGCCCTTCTGGACTGCACAGCAGGTTCCAGGCCAGCCTCAACTATCTGTGAGAGAATGTGGACAATGATACTGTTTCTAATGACCCAAGCACAAACCAAAACAGAAGTTTTGTTCCTTTCTTACTCCTAGCTGCTTGCTGTGGTCACAGGGTAATTGCTCCAGCACTACCTGGAGGGACAAGGAGCCGCCTAGGAACCCCTGCTCAAGTCTCACTATGGAAAATGGCTTCTATCATGTGAGATTTCTTGATAAGGTAGTTGATCTTTAAGTTTTAAATAATAGGGGAAAATAGCATTAAGAGACAAGAGCACAGGATATTTTGACATTTTTTTATTAATGCCTATTAAGAAGAAATCCAGACGGGTGACTATCTGGTCTCTATGAAGAACTTTCTTTCATGGCACTTCCTTCCCCTCACGCGTGGCCATGCTGTGCACTTCCTCTTCCTCAGGACACGCTGCAGTTTTCTGAGCCAGTGCCTCACACTGCATCCTCTCATTCACACATTCATTTTCAATCCACTGCTTACAGGGAGCGTATTTTTTTCTGTTCCACGAAGAGAACTTTCTTGTTCACTGTGTGGCAAGAGAAAGGGGTTGTAGCAGAAAGCTAGAAGCGTCATCATTGTACCAACACACACTTTGTGCTACGAGGGCTCCTTTCCCCTTGTGTTACTATTCCTCTGACATGAGGATGAGCTGATATGAAAACCCAGCTTCTCAATCTCAAGCCAGAGAAGACGGAGAGAAATCAGTAAGCCAAGGGAGGGTTCCCGGCCAATCAGCACTGTCCTCGACAGACTACAAAGTCATTATCTCAATCAACGTGAGATCCTGGGGCAAAACATGACCAACCCTGACTGGCCCCACTCTCATAGAGGGTAAACAAGAACCAACTGGGCACAGGGCTCCAGAATACCACTGAGAGCTAAGCAGTCCACAAAGGACCGGCAGCCAATCTAGAGAAGGCTTCACACCCAAATAGGGATGGTTCAGATGGTCAATGCTAGCAAAACCCCAATACTACAAAGTTACTGAGTACAGTTCCAAAAATAATGGCACCTGCCTTAGTGAGAGACTGGAGCTAGATGCTGGGAAAGGAGGCTTTCATAGAGCCTGTGTCCTATAACCCACTCAGGCTCCAGCCAACCCCACCATATTGCGCATGTACACACTCACATGTGCCTAATTACGTGACCTGATTCTTCTCTGCCATTAAAACTAGACACCCAAAGGAAACCTAGAAGGCCAAAGGACTGTGCGACCTTACAATTCCTCTGTCCCTGACCACACAAACATTTAAACTTTGTTCTCTTCTTCTACAATAAAAATGGATACATTCCTTATTAAATTTCCAAACCATGATTAAAAATTAGCAAGAGAGTTTATTTAAAATATAATGCTGTAGGCTGGAGAGGCTCAGTGGTTATGAACACCACCTTTCCAAAGGACCCAGGTTCGATTTCCAGCACCCACAATTTTCCAGAACTCCGGTCCCAGGGAATCTGACATCCTCTTCTAGCTGCAAGCACTAGGTACACTTGTGTTCCACAGACATACAAGCAGCCACATCACCCTTACAGATGAAAAAAATTACATTTCTCATATCTATCTTAACTCCAGTTTAGTAGCAGGAATTCAACTATGTTTTAAAGTTCTCTAGGCAGCTGAATTTAAGAACAATTAACCAGCTGAAAATGTAGCACTAAACAAACTAGGGGCATTGTTATATAAGGGCCATTGTTCACTTATTTTTGATCATTTAAAACGTGAGAAAATATCTTTACGCTAAATCCAGAAACCACTGATTATTAGAACAAAGCTCTAAGGTGGTCATGATGCATGAACCTCTAATCCCAGAACTCGGGAGGCAGAGGCAAACGGATCTCTGTGGGTTTGAGGCCAGACTAGTCTACAGACCAAATTCCAAGCCAGCCAATGATACACAGAGACCCTGTCTCAAAAAACAGCAACAAATATAACAGGCTTTATACATTAAAATTCCTTTCTCTGGCCAGGAGTTGGTGGCACACACCTTTAGTCCTAGCACTTGGGAGGCAGAGGCAGGCAGATCTCCGTGAGTTTGAGGCCAGCCTGGTCACAAGAGCTAGTTCCAGGGCAGCCTCCAAAGCAATACAGAGAAACCCTGTCTTCAAAAATAAAAACAAAATAAAAATAAAAATAAAAAACAAACAAACAAAAAAACCCTTCCTCTGTATTTATCCCTTCAATTAAGACTATGACAAGCGGGCTGGAGAGATGGCTCAGAGGTTAAGAGCACTGGTTACTCTTCCAAAGGTCCTGAGTTCAATTCCCAGCAACCACATGGTGGCTCACAGCCATCTGTAATTGGGTCTGGTGCCCTCTTCTGGTGTTGAAGCAGACATGTAAACAGAGCATTGTAAACACAATAAATAAATCTTAAAAAAAAAAAGACTATGACAAGCATTGCAGTTTATATAGAGACCCTGACTTAATAGACCAATGTATCATATGATGAGCACGTGAAAATCCAGGAAAACCCTTAAAACCTAGAGATCAGACCAAATGTGGTGAATGTTTATAATCCCAGCACTAAGAAGGCAAAAACAGGAGAATTTCAAGTTCGAGGGCACCTTGGGCTACATGGCAACACAATGTTTTCTACCCTACGCCACCGCCCCAAAAAAACAGAAACATGCTGGGCAAGGTAATCCCAGTACTTGAGAAGCAGAGGCAGGTGGATCTCTGTGAACCCCAGGTCTGCCAAGGACACACAATGAGACCCTGTTTCAAAATTAAAAAAAAAAAAAAAAAAAAAAAAATTGAGGGGAAAAGTCACACTTGAGGGAAAGTCAGAGCTTCCTTGGATGCAGTGAGGCTGACTGGAACAGGGGCTCGGGCCACAGCACGGGACAGCACCCGCCCAGTGTGTGCTAACCCTAAAAATATAGTAAATAATAATAGCTAAGAGGCAGACGCAGGGACGACAGTGGCGCTCTGAACGCCAGGCTGACAACTGGAGAGGCCCCAACTCTTCTGCCGTACGTAGGGCTCTTACCTGCTTGGTTTGCAGTTGTCTGACCATGCACATGCCCAGGCAAGGTCCTGATTTTAAGCAAGTATTAGGAAGGCATTCTTGCCACTTTTCCTGGTAAATGCAGCTGCCACCCCTCATCAAAGATGCTTCTTAAGCAAATGGAGACCATCACAGGAAACCACAACAGGACACAACACCAATATCAACAGATCATGAGGAGCCCAGCCCTAACACAATCTATATCAGAGTCCCTGCATCTTTGGCTCAGGGAACATCATGGAAGAGGAGGCACAAAGACTGTGAGAGTCAGAGCACCAAGAAGTCTGAGGTGAAACAGCTGCATAAGCAAGAGTAGAACGCAAGCAGTATCAATGAACATGTTAGCAGGAAGGGGGAAGTTCATGGGGTCTCACCCCTATACAAAGAGCTGCACACAGCTAGCTAATGACTGCTATGAGAATTAGTATCTCCCAAGGAAGAGCTCCTTATTGATTATGCTCCACATACATACATTCATCCATACACAATCCATCTGCCCACACATAATTCATTCAAGCATGCATACATGCAATCATACACATACATAATCCATACATATACCCACATGCATAATTCATACATGTATACACAATTCATTCACGCATACATGCATGTATTCGTGCATACATACACATGAAACAGTAATAAAGAAACAGAGGCTATCAGCTTGGAGGGGACATGGGGGTTTGACGGAAGGTGGCTGAGAGGGGTGAGAGGGAGAAGGGAAGTGATACAATTTCATTTCAGTTAAAATGTATTTTTTTAAAAAGTATTAGGAAGATAAAATTGGCCCCATGTACTAGAAACAGCCAGAAGAGCTGGGTTCTAACCCTGAACCAGGGATGTAGTAAAATATTAAAGCGTGTGTGCACAAAGTCTTGGAGGAGAACGCAGCTGAGGAAGGGAGGAGTCTGGCTGCAATATTCACCCACCCCGAGCACCTAGGCAAGTA